CCCCACTTCTTTCCCTCCAGGCTAGCAACTGTGAAAAAGAAGAGCACTATACATGACGAGTATAGTATGGGTGTATTTACTATTTTTATGCCTCACAACCACGCACCGTCACAACGACATAAATGTCACGAAATGTTTGAGAGACTTTTACCATTCCTCACTTTGTATGTCGGGGTAGACACAACCGTCTTACTTTCGGTATGGCCGAAAAATCTGAGCCCTAGTTTCACTGACAAGAATTGTTACGGAAATCACCGATTCACAAGATCCAGAGCAACTTCTCCCTTATTTTGTGTGTGTGTGTGTGTATATGTATATATGCAGGCATGTGTGTGTGTGTGTGTGCCAAGCTCTTTCGTTTGTGGGAGAGTGGGTTTTGCTGTTAGACGAGATGAAGGGGGTAGTGGGGCCCACATGCAGGATTCACATCGTTGGCCATCGCATCCCAGCCTCGAGGGCTGATAAGCCAGAATCGGCTAATCCTGGACCGACTGGGCCCATGGGAGAGGCTGTGATAGGCCCGAGGCTAATCGGTCACGTTTCTTCGCCTTCACCGCCTTGACGTCCGGTTCGTGATGGACAGATTGAGTCGTGACAGCATCGCTTGTGTCAATTGCTCATTGTCTTCATAGCCCTGACCTCAACACCTCGAGCTCAACTTCCATCTGTACTAGCACACACATTCGGCTAAACTCGGCCTGGCTGCCATAGCAATCGGCTCTGATACAGAATAAATAATCGGCTCGAGGAAATGTATTTGTGCAATCAAAGCCTATTTCGTATGCTAGAAAGTCCAAGTTTCCCAAAGACTGAATAAATCAAGTCAAAATGATGCTCATGACAGTTGAGAGTGATTTATCGTTGAACTACATTAATTAGGGCTATTCCATCCAAGCGGGAGGATTCATACAACTGGGCTATATGGCATTGACACCTTCGGCCTCTGCTTACAACACCATTTATCACAGCAACTTAATAGCCTCCACAAGGTACAACACTTGGACATAAAAACGCCAGGTCGCCCGACTGAACGACTCTACCTGATGGCACCTGCGGCATCCCCTCGTGTTGATGGACTCATCGCATCCTCCATCAACCCAAGCAGCATCTTTCGCCAGTAGCACTGACAACCAACTCAATCGGTTCTATTCACAACACACTCGACTCGACTCGTCGTCACCGTCTCTGCCGAAACACATGGACATATACATACAATACGCATAGGTATATTTGAGAGTTGGAACCATCAAGGCTATAAGGCTGTCTAGAATTTATCTCCATTCTAGCCTAACTCTTAGGGGCAAATTAATGGTGGGCCTTATAAGTTCTAAAGAGAATTCTACCCAATGCTGCGATTCCAAGACAATTGAACTCTCTAGCCTTAGGTGAAAGATCGGATTCCGACAAAAAGCTATTAAACAAGGGTCTAAATATATCGGTATATATATAATTCTGCCAATTTACACCTACTACTCACGCAATATGAGTAGTCAGACGTGGTCGAAGGTTTGTGCCGTGCGCTAAAAAATGAAGGTTTTGAGTATGCATTGCTGCCAGACTAAATAAGTCTTTTATAGAGGAGGCTTAGTAGAACCACTTTTTAGATGAGCTTCTCCGAGCTGTTTAGTTTACTCACTTTTTCAATCGGCGAAAGCCCAGGCCTTCGTCCTTTTATTAAACTATCTTTTTTATAGGTTCAAAAACAAAGGCTATTAGACTAGACTTTCAGACACTTCGAGCTGAACTGAGCATATCCTTTTTTTCTGAGACTCTAGCATATCTTGATGATTAACACCAGAGTAGCCGTTGATACCAGCTCAGAGTCTAAAGACGATTAAAGGGAAACTGAAGCTAATGTCTAACTTTGATTTTGTCTGGCCATATAGTTTAAGTTACTTGGAAGACGTGCTAAGCCTTTAGGTGTTAACAAATTTAGACAAGAGATGCAACTTACTGGATAATAACAAGCATGTCTTTGAAGGCTTGGTACATTTTCCAATTGAATTTTGCCTTTACGTCCCTTCAAACTTATTTGATCGGAGCATAGATGCGTAACTGGTCACTTCCAAAGAGAAGCCTACTCATATTTCTTCGCAATGCCTCTCATAGAACGCACAGTTGGCGATTATTTACGGTTTAAGATCTAATCGGAATTCGAGTCACTCTGAATCACGAATAACGAGCGAAAGTGAAAATGGCTCTTTTGTGTTCAAGACGCTTGAACACAGGTTCTTACCGCAACGACTGAACATCTTGTGCCGGCATTAGGCGTTCTTATATTTGTTCAACTCGAGGGCAAAGCATACGCACCCGCAAGAATGTCCGATCAGGAGCCATCGCCCCAGAAACTCCTGAATTTGTGCCGAGCTTATGTTTGTTGGATAGCCAGAAAAGTTAAGACAAAGGAATTTCTTTGATAAACCGCCACTCTGAGATCCCAGTTTGCCAGCCGATGGACCGATCACGTTTGCATTTATGGTAGTGACTGTGTCATGCCATCCTATACACCTCATTGGATGGGAGGCAATGTTTTAGAAGGGAATAACAATATTGTTTTGTATCGAAGATATGAAGACCAAGATTGTATGGCCTTGGTATAATAGTAGATATCGTAATTCCCAATGCTGGTACATTCTCAGATGGGCCGGGTGGGAGTGTGATAAAAGGGTTCGGAGTGGATAGATGGACCAGGATAGAAAGAGGAATGATAGCAGCACTGTTTCGGCAGAGAGTTTGATCAAGGGATTGACTTCATTTGCCTCTTTGACGAGTTGTAGTATGATGATTAGAATCGCAAGACTCAGTAACGATGCCAGCGAAATGTCTATAAGGGAATTAAATTTTTTATTGAAACTGTTTCTAGGCGATTAGTATAGGTTTGCAGACAAAATAGTTTAACAAAAATACTTATTTTGCACATAAAGGATAGAAGGAATTTCTTATTGTTAAAGCAACAAATTTTATATATAGAATTTCAATTTTGCGTGTTAATGGTGGATGTTGTTGTTGTTACACACCCGGTTTATTATGGAATAGTGATTTGTCGAATCATTCATACCATGCACTCTGGACAATATGACCAAGTCGCGAAAACAAGACCAAACAACTCTTTTTGCTACAGTTTATCAAGTTTGAGCCGCCTGCACTGGCCATTCAGCATTTCCAGATTAATGTGCTTAAATTCTGTACTAGCAAGGTCGTAGCTTGTAAGTTCAAATATAATTTTGTTTCTTCTACACTCCCATACTAAACGCTTATTCATCTTAAAAGTCACATCTGCCCCGGGATACATAAGTACTCCCACCACCGCCACGTTACTCATACCCCGGTTTCGAGTTCGTTTGAAGATGTTGATGAGTCCCAAGTGAGGTGGCAACTGCAATCCATTCGGGACAAGAAAAGCTTTTTGGAGGATGGACTAAGTGAACTTCACCGACGCCCTGAGGCCTACTTTTAGTTTGGGGCGAAATTTTTTAATTAATTAATTAGTAAAGACAATTGGGATAATGTGAGCGTTCATTCATCCAAAGGGCGAAACATTCTTGGGAACTTAATATTTCCATCTTCCGGCTTATTCCGTGGACGAAGCCAGTGCGCTGATGAATGGATTGTGAAAAAGGCATTCACAATTTAGCCGACTAATCGCATCTCAGCTGGGTCTTTTTGGGGATTTGTGTCCATACCCGCTGGTTCTCGGTCCTCCAGCATCAGGTCGCCAACCCATAGCTCACGGGGGCCTAGGCAACCTCTGCTGGTTGTATACCAGAGCCCCTCCCCCAAAGAATTCAAGCCAACGAGTCAAGTGGTATATCTACTCTACATCTGGCCTCTTTGATCAAGTATAAAGTGTTTGGTTAGTTAAGGTCATATGTCAACTTGCACTTCGATGATAACTTGCTCTGATGATGTTCGTCATGTGACGGACGAAAGCTTAGGACCTTTTCACAGAAATCGAAGGAGATTGCCTCGGAAACAGCGTCAGCATGAATGTTCCACTAAAGCAAATCGACAGCTAATCAAGAGGAATCCGCCGTCGTTTTCTGGTGGGACCGAGCTTCGAATCTCTTTACCCAACACTTTCACTCGAAATGGAAGTAAGCTAAACAATCACCAAGAATGCTCAAAAGGAGCCAATCGACAGATAATGAAGAGGGATCTACCCTTGTATTCTAGTGGGACAGAGCTTCGAATCTCTTCACCCAACACTTTCACTCGAAATGGAAGTAAGCTAAATAATCAACAAGAATGCA